AGATTCCTCAATCGTTTTTCATCTCGAACGACAACGAAGATATCATCGACATACCTGCAGTACAATTCGGGCATGATCTGTTTATCTCAAAGTACTCGATTTTTAATTTCGCATTCGTACATATAGAACTCAGCAAAAGTATGACCAAAGGGACAGCCCATGGCTACGCCGCTGGTTCGTCGTTCAATTTTGTTGTCTAGAGTCCGGAAAGGTGATTCAGAAGTGCAGATCGAGGAAAATTTTCTTAGGTATTAGTGGAGCCGGCAAAGTTGCATGGATGAAAATATACGTGCTTCGCAATAATTTCTAATGTTTCTTCAGTTGGGACGTTGGTGAAGAGGCTGGTGACATAAAGTGACACGAGAAGGCCGGATGGACGTGCAGAGTTAACCATCGATTTACCAGTGCAAACGAAAAATGTTGCTCGATATATTGAAAAAACTAATGAGAAAATTGTCAATAAAACCAATTCTCTGGTCTTCGATGAAACCTGCTTAAATAAAAAATGATAGTGCATAATTGGTGATATAACAAATTAAAAAACATTAAATAAATTTAGTTCCCAATTTCTCGTGAATTGTTTGGTAAAGTTACAGTTCGCCATCACTCGCTCCCAATCATTATTTTACAAATTCTTATCATTCTCATCATTTGAATTCCGACATCTCTCGTTCTCATCATTGTTATTTAAGAGCAGAATAAAGAATTTCAAACGTTCATTTCGAAAACATCTTGTAAAATGATAAGAGATTTTCAGAAATATTCATCCAATATTAAAAGTTTCAGTCTCGTTATTTTACTCTAAAAAACAGGAAATCGTGCAGCGGAACTTTTTTCATTGGGTTCTTGCAAGAGGATACAAACTTTCCATCGATTAGAATGGCAATTAAGATTTCATGTGTCGATAGCGAGCAGTTATTAAAACATTGCATGCAATTATTAATGCATTTCAAACATCGCACGATAAGACTGGAACGCCGCACTCAAACTCGTGTTGCTGTTAGAGACGTTGAGTGATGTATTTTATACGTCTGTTATAAATAAATGTTTTATATGTATATTATATGTATGCTGTGCATATGTTTCTCGTTCAGTGGAATACTAGGACTAGGATATAATGCATACACAAATCAATATATCAATTTAAATTCACTATTCATCAATATTATATCAATTCCCACATCATTTATGTAATTAATTTTTCATTTTCAATTTTGACTTTATTAAGAAAGTTATCAATGTAGCTTGCCTGGCTTAAGGCCTGCCTGGTTTATGGCTATTGCGGTTTATGGCTTGCCTGAAATATGGCTACTATAGTTTATGGCGTGTCTGTTTTGAGTCTTGCCTGATTTATTGCTCCTGTAGTTTATGGCTTACCTGATTTATGTCTTGATATTTTATTTTTATTTATTTTGATTTATGTCTTGACTTGCCTGATTTATGGCTGTTATAGTTTATGGCTTAACTGGTTTATTGCTTTGATATTTTAGGACTTGCTTGATTTAGGGCTGTTATATGGCTTTTATAGTTTATGGCTTAACTGGTTCATTGATTTGATATTTTAGGACTTGCCTGATTTATTGTTCCTATAGTTTCTGGCTTATATGATTTATGGTTTTTATATGATGTGTCTTGCCTAATTTATGGCTATTATTTTATGGCTTGCCTGATTTCAGCCTATTAAGGCAGGTCCCGCTCAACCATGCCAGGCGTCAGTTATGTTCACTTGTAGCGCAGCCGCGATGAGAGGCGCGTTGCGGCTATGGCGGCTGAAATATTTCCTCAATAACCTCCTCATCCCTCGAATACTACCTCATAATAGATTATAAGTAATTCTTTAAATACAGCTCTCAATACTATTACAAAAATAGTAAAATACATTCCTCAATTCATATTAAAATAGTTTCAAAAAGGTATCTTCCATTACCGATTAATAACCTCTATATATACTGTTTTAGACGTAATTATTAATATTGATTTTACCCCCAAATGCGGTTAAACAGCATAGGGAAAATTAATGAGGCGGTTATTAAAATTATGTCGAATTGAAACGTGAAGGCGATATTAAATTAAATTAAATTAATATATTAAATTAATTAAAATATCTTCGTGTAGCCGCTATTGCTGATCTCGGCTGACATTCTGCAATATTATTGCGTTACACCGAGCGCCGTCATTATGCAATATCTGGCATATTGTCAACATATACTCAAGATAATAAATGGGTCATAAATTCCTAATGTTGACACACTTTCTGCTCGTAGCACTGATACGCACTTTCACGGGCCAAAGTGGGTCAGGATGACCCACACGAGTGCAACAGTGCATCAATATTTGGAAAAATTATCACTGATTTATTTGAGTGTATTTATTATACTCATTAAGTCATTCAGCAGTTAACTGATGAATGAACTGAGTAATACATGAATAGATTGAGGTAAGTAATCAAACACAAGGCACGGTATGAGTATGTATGTACAGTTTATGTAACAAATATACATAGGAGTGTGAGTGCGGACTGTCTATGCAATAGATTATAACTAAATAAATAGTGTCGATGGCACCCAGTCCTATCCATACTGATGTAGTGTATGCAATATGGATTTATCTATGCTTGCATGATTATGTAGACATAATCTATAACAATCAATGCTCCGCATGATTACTCATAAATAATCTATACCAGACGATGCTCTGCATGATTCCGTAGACATAATCTATACCAATCAATGTTCTGCATGAATGCATAGACATTATCGATAGCAATCAATGCTCTGCATGATTGCACAGACGTAATCTATACCAATCAATGATTTACCCGATTCCATAGACATAAAATATGCCGAACAATGCATTGCATGATTCCATAGACATAACATATGCCGATCAATGCTCTGCATGATTCCATAGACATAACATGTGTTAATCAATGTTGGGTAGATGTCTATGAATGGCATGAATAACTCATGAATAATCACGCACGATTCAGAGACTGACTCATGCAAGACTCATGAGGTTGGGTGAAGGGAAACCTGCCATGTTTCAACATCTGTACTCACTGTACAGGAAATGTGGGCATAATTAAACCTAAATTATATCAATATCTAGAACATGTTATGTGAATAACATGAGTGTTGGGGCTACCCGTAGATATGCTGCTCATATTCAGCCTTATATTCAGCCTCGTATTCAGCAATATATTCAGCCTCATATTCAGCCTCGTATTCAGCCTCACATCCAGCCACATATTCAGCAATATATTCAGCTTTATATTCAGCCTCACATCCAGCCTCATATTCAGCCTCGTATTCAGCAATATATTCAGCTTTATATTCAGCCTTATATTCAGCCTCACATCCAGCCTCGTATTCAGCCTTATATTTTGCACTTGTAGACACTCGCGATTTTTTATACAATTAAAAGAACTGTCGTATGTCTCCTATATTATATAGATGGCCAAAAACGACACCTGATATCTTTACGCGTAAACTTGAATATACAAGCCGATATCTGTCTATCTATCTTGTCATAGATAGATTCTAATCAGCATTGTGAATTCAATAAAAAAACACACAAACTGGATTTTCAAGTCGAGAATCTTGAACAAGCGTTCGCTCTATATAGGTCAGATCGCATTTTCTGAAGTTCAATATCTAATATGCTTTTAACTTCGCGTTGAAAACCATCTTCGACTTTGAGGCGGCCATACATACGCTGGCCGCTGATAAATTACTAAGCCATTGAAAATTAGCGAAGAATTTTTGAATTTCGGTCGGCCAACGATAATTCACTTTTGATTTTTCAATAAGGTACTTGCAAACTGGTACAGTATTGGCGGCCACTGCATCTACTAAATACTAACAGCCACTATTTACCGAGCTATTGGCCGGGTTTATGGCCGCTACTGGCCACTAATGGACCCAGTAAGCCAATACACGAGGCCAGTAGCACGGTATCAGTGTTGATTAATTAGTAGCAATTAGCATTTGTAGTGGCGGTCACTACTGGCACCAAGCAGCAATAGAGTTCAACACTGGACAAATGTGCTAAGCGTTTGAACAAGATATTCTATATCTAGTCAACTCTCGCATAACAATTAAGATATCTACGATATTTCTATCTTACATTTTGATTCAAGTGCTGCCTAATTATCGAGAATCGAAATTTTGTACCACAGAAAGACTTTTACATTTATTAACAAACGTCAACATACGAGATGGGGTTTGCAAAAATTATATTTCTATATGAAAAAGAAACCCTATTCTACATAGAAAAACTCAATGTTTCTAAATGACAAGAGAATGCAAATAATTTGGGTTTTCAAATCTGCTTCAAATTTCTAATTTTATCCCAAAATTTCAGAATCTAACGTTGGGCATTAATTTAAATTTCTTGCTGTACAAGCAATCGCTGTGCTGCAGGTCTCAGCGAGAGTGAAGTATCTATAAAGTATTTATTTACAGTTACTTGTCTCTGTACATAACAGTTCTACACAAATTACTAAATCAAGAGTAACAGAAAGCTTCTGTATTTGAGAGAAACCTTCCTTCTAAACTTAATTATTTTTTATGGAAAAACTTCCATGATCAATTGAGGAAAAGTCAACAATTTTGACATGCAATTAGAGTGTCCCATTCATCGACGTTCCTCGTTATATAAACGATATTTTGATTTAAATTTTATTTATCAAATTTTTTAAGAATCCATCGAGTCTCCATGAGCTCAGAACATGAAATATATTCGTATAATTGAACAAAATTTTTAAACAAGATTTAGCAAATTAGCGAATTTAAAAATTTTTATCAGCTTGGCATTGAACGATAAATTTATATTTACGTTTTAAGCATTATATTTTTATATATTATTAAACGCAATTGATATGCAGGGGGACTCTCCAATACAGAACAATAGTAACGCTAACGAAACCAAATATTATTTAAAGTCCTCATTGGTGAGCAAAATTAAATGAATTTTTCTTATAATTACTGGAAATTTTTTGAAATTGAAGTCACTGATCAATAAAATTATGTTACCAAAAAATAATAATTTGCGATATGCACATTTTTTCGACTACGTAATAAACAAATTCGTAAAGCTATTGTTTGAAATATTCTCAACACATTTATTTTGCATGGTTCCTAAAATTTTTTGAACGTATCAATAAACTTGAACAGTACAAAAAACTCTTCCAACATTTTCCTGATCTTACGTTTGGCGAAAAAATTTTTAGGATGAAAATAAAAAATAAAGATAATGGAAACCTATGTCATAATCTGCTGGTTGATCTGATGAGCTGCCGCCATGTCGCCGTAGTGGTTCCAGTACATATACGTGGATGCTGGATCCCATTGTGGATGTCCTGGATGTCCTGCGTGTGGATGATGGATAGGATACCCAGCCATGTGTCCTGCGGCTGCATCCATAGCCATCCTCCTAGGATCCATGGGTCCTCCCTGGATATGATTTCCAATAGGATTTCCATGCATCGCCGGGATCATCATATCCTTAGGAGAAGGCATGGGTGGTGAAGTCATCATGTCTCTGGGTGACGTCATGTGGTCTCTGTGTTGCAGTGACATCATCTCCGCGGGGGAGTTCATCATCTCACACTTCATTGTTTGTTGCAGTTCATTGTGCCCCGCGGGGGACTGGTGGGAGTGAGGGCGCTCCCCCTGTTGATGGTGCAACATCTGGCTCCCCCCACTGGACCTAGAACCCCCACCTGATCCCCCAGCGGGGGATGAGTGTGAGGAGTGGCCGTGGGGCTCAGGAGTGGCGGTTGAGGGGGCACCTCCCCCTCTCCCAGATGATGGCCCCAGTCCCGAGGCTTGGTGGGAGTCTAGACTGTGGTCGATGGTGGAGGCTGGGGAGGCTGGGGACTCGGGGCCGTTCACCATGAGCCCCAAGTTGTTCTGCATCTCCCCCGCCAGCTCAGCGTCTCCCCCAAGAGGCGGTCCGCCCCCCTGGGTCTTGTAGATCTTCTTGAACTTGGACCGCTTGTTCTGGAACCAGATTTTGACCTGGAAAATAGAGAAGAAGATTTTTAAATTCATAGAAAAGAATAACCAAATGCAGAAGAGAAATTTATATTTTACTTTAAAGTGCCAACATAATACAAGCCAATAGAAAAAATTTTGAACTTCATAGAAAAGGAAAAGCAAATGCAGGAAGAGAAATTTAGATTTTGCTTTAAAATGCAAACACAATACATGCCATTTTCTTCTACTCTGAATTATATTCTAATTAGGATTTTGGCGTGCTAAATGTAGTTATTATAAATTTAAGAAGTCCTGAATATTATTAAATGTTGTGAACATTTTGATGAAATTTTGCTTCTTGATAATGATATTAAATTGACTAGAGCTGAAAACTTGTTAGGTAAATCACAGGAAGATAATTTAGTCGTAATTGTTTTATTTCATAGCTTTGAGAAAAAAAAACATAAATACATTTCGGGAATTTGCCTGTCGATGTAAAAATATATTTTTAATAGAAAATCCCTGTGGTTTATTTAACCTAGAACCAACTTTATTTTTACACAAATACTTTCAGTTTAAAATAGTTATAGAGCCTCAATTTGTTTCTTCAATACCTTAAATTGTGAAAAGAATAAATAATTTAAACCTACAAAGAATAATATGGAAGTAAATAAGCAAGTGGAAATTAATCAGATACTCACAATGATGTGAATCGCTTTTTAAATTAAAGTATTATATAGATGGCTATGTATCCTACAGATGGCTGTGTATCCTACAGTCATCGTTTCCTATCGATGGCTATGTGTCCTTACGACTCTGGTTTAGCACGCGTCTACTCCGCATATATCGCGCTTGTAATACATAGTTTATATGCTACACATATAGACACACTCCAGCTTCACATGCCACCATAGCAAGCATGCCACGTTATGCCAAAGATAGCAGGCACGCCACGATGGCATCCATGCCACGGTGGCAGACATGCCACGGCGGCAGACATGCCACGGCGGCAGACATGCCACGGTGGCAGACATGCCACGGTGGCAGACATGCCACGGTGGCAGACATGCCACGGTGGCAGCACAAAGCGCTGCCTCCAAACCCTGATGGGCGCCACGCCCCAGCCATTGCTCACGCCGCTCCCACGGAGATCTTTTGGGCACGTCCACAATGTCGGCTTTGTGGGACCCTGAGAACCCGTCTCTAATATAGGGCGGACTTATTGGGACGTCATTGGGACAGCGAGGGACGGAGAGGGACGACGATGGACGGTGAGGGACGGCAAGGGACGGCAAGGGACGGATAGATTTCAAAATGGAAGAAAGGACGTCAGGATGAGCATCTGCCGGCGCAATGACACGCGGCAGGTCTCGTGAAAACTATGCTGATACTCGAGTTGAAGTTCGAGTTTTAGTTTAAGCTTACTTTGACTTGTTTATTTCAATGAGCTTATTTAACGTTGAACCAGTTAAGTCTTACGGGCCTAGTTAAAGTTAAAATAGTTTGATTTACCGAGTTCCTACTAGTTAAAGTCTTAAATTGCGTTTAAAATGAAGTGACAGCTCAGGCTAAAATTCGAATGAGACGAGTTGAAGTTCGAGTTGAGGCATGAATAAGAATAGTTCTTAGGAAAGCATGAGCTCGAGTTGCAGTTGAGGAATTAACGATATGTGTATAGGAAGGGTCCAGAGACCAAACTTAAATATAGGAGCTCTAGAAATTCAAAGTCTAGGTAGGAGCTGGAGACTAGGCTTTGATAGTACCTGGAGGTAATAAAGTATTACGCAACCAGGCCTATAAAGTATTACACTAAGATGCTCTTACTCTAGCGGAGTTAGCTTCGAAATATAAATGAATTCATCCATATGATGACAGAAGTATGTACAAATATAATCCGCAACACTAAACATAACACGTTAAATGAATATTTTAAAAAATTCGCTATTAAGTGCAATTGTGTAATGTATGGACTTGAATCTTCTGGAAAAAATGTTGCTGTATCTGATAAGAAATATTTTATATCTGTTATATATTTAAAACCGTTATATCAGATAAAATTCAGCGTATCATCATCTTGAATTAACGAAACGGTAAATTTATTGGCGTTTCTTTTTTTAATTCCTGGCTTGCCAGCGATTTAGGCAAACTAATGATATATACAAGGGGTTGGACAGAATGATGCAAATACGGAGGTTTCCCAAAATGATATAAATACGGGGGTTGGCCAAAATGATATCAATACAAGGGTTGGACAAAATTATACAAATACGGAGGTTTCCCAAAATGATATAAATACGGGGGTTGACCAAAATGATATCAATACAAGGGTTGGACAAAATTATACGAATACGGAGGTTTCCCAAAATGATATAAATACGGAGGTTGATCAAAATGATATGGACAAAGTGAAATAAATACGAATGATATGACGCATCAAACCTTATGAGCTCGTAACTTTTGAGCATATTTTAAATAATAAAAGCTTGACATATTTAAAAACTTTATTCTTTATTATTGCTGCTAATTGATAGTCTATGCGTGCAAAGATATTTGTAGAAAATTTGTGTGGCTATATAAGCTTGTAAAATGTAAAATTGCAAACCTATGTGACCTTGCAAGAGGCCGAATTGTTAGCTAATTGGTGCTCACATGGCAGTGGCTGGTCACACACACACAATTCACAATTTAAAGGCATGTATGGAGAATTAATTGTAGCTGTCGTTGTCGTAAAAAGTTGACTTACATCATATATTAAAAATATATTTCGTGTATTTTTAAGGCGCCACCTTTATTTCGTCCAGCCCTTGTATTTGTAAACAAAATAAAAAATTATATACGATATATCTGGATAAAATCATCACTTATAGTAGTTGGTAAGTATAGTAAGCATCATTATTACATATACATATGTAACACGCATAACATGCTCGTTCGTTATCTTATATGTTTGAATTATATTTCGACTTTTTTGAAGCCTTGTGGGAGATTAGCATGACATTGCAAAAATGGCAGGAAAGCAGTGGACCAGAGAATGAAATTTCATTTAGAAATTAGTATCTACAAATTTAGTTTAGAAGACGCAACATGATTTCCTTCATATTTTTAAACAAACGCCTTATGGTGAGTTCAAAGAAATTGTTTAGGTTGAATGGGTCCCATTTTAATTAGCTCACATTGGATTTTTTATTATTACGGGATTCTGGATAACGGGATTCAGGATAACGGCATTCTGGATAACGGGATTCGAGATAACGGGATTCTGGATAACGGGAATCTAAAATTTTTAACTAATCAACGACGAGCGACGCCGAGCTAACCTGCTTGCATGTCATTAAATTCACTTGTTATCTTATCTGAAAAAGACAGACCTACATAAAAAGATTCATAATTTTTTAAATCTTTGATCTGGCCAAGCCTTTGATTTGTCTAGGGCAGCCTGTAGGTGACGACGCATCCTAATTGGGACGAGTGAGATCTAGACAAATATGGACGACGTCTAGACAACTAGAGACAGTGTCAAGTGTTGTTTCTAGCGCACTAGGCTGTTAAGAACACACCATCCTTGGGCCTATGGACCTTCAAAGAACACAGGGACTGGACAGTCCTCAGGAGTGACAGGACTCGCTGTTGAAGTGACCAAGTCTCTTTAGTGGACCACTGGCCACTGTGACCGCATCTTGTTTACTGTCCATCAGCACAAATTGACCGCCGCTTGTCCACACTTCCCATCAGCAAATGGCTACAATTGATCAGATGGCGAGATAGGTGACGCGGTCTCTTCAAACCAATATTGGTTCACTACACCGGCCCAAATCATGGCCGGTTTATCGGGGGCCACACACTTAATGGCCTCTAATCCACTTATGGCTTTTAATAGAGACGCCAGGGTTAGCCCTTGACACTTGAGGGCCAAAGCTGCATACCTGGCAGCGGCTTCACGTCAAATGAGATACATTTTCCATGTCCCGCGCCCCTGTCTAAACTTGAGACAGGACAACCGTCTCAACTTTAGACAGTAATTAATTAGGGATAAGGGCACGTACTGTATTCATGATTATGATTCTTAACCAATTAAAAATCAAAAATTGGAGCACGGATCTAATTCTGAATTAGTACTCGTAACTCATTAAAATAAGACCTCGTAACAAACTAAGGAGTAAGAACCGTAGCTAATAAAAAATTGGGGCACTTGCATGTACTTGAGGATCACGACATGCAAATATTAAAAGATTAGGAAACGCAAATAATAAGAGATTAGGATACGCAAATAAATAAGGATTAGATCGCGTTCTTAATCACGATTAGGATACGCACTTAATTGAAGATAAGGATAATTGAGGATTAAGGGGTAAACAGTGCAGCGTGACTTGACATCTTCCAGTTGCTGAATAAATGACATGCCTTAACCAGCCAAGCGACGGCGATGACATGGGTAGCAGTGTCATGTCTTGACTAGTTGACTCACCCCTATATTTTATCGTAAATTTATCAGTAACATTTGTTTAAAAAAATTATAGCCCTTCTCATAAGTTAAAATTGAATTAGTTAAACTTTTTCATCCCCACTCTCACAAAAAAAGTACAACACAGCAATATCTAATGAAGAATAAAAACTATGCGGGTATTATATGATCTATATACGTAAGTGATATAGAGTTGCGCTCTCGTTTTAAAATATGCAAAACCCGATTTTTACTTTTCTGAATTATATTTCATCACACAATTTGAAAACCAAATTTCTATTTTTGCACCGTTCCTCCCCTTCCAATTTCGCAATGCTTAGCCATTCTGAAACCAAGAATAAATTTTCCGGTCCAGGCAATATCCCGACACGAATAATATTAAAGTATCCTGGATATGCGCCCCATCAGCCCCTATATAAAATATCCCGACACGATAAGTATCCTGGATATGCGCCCCAACAGCCCCTATATACAATATCCCGACATGATAAGTATCCAGTAATTAAGGTGATTGTATTATAATTGTATGTAAGGTTACTGTACAGGCTGATGGAAGTCTTAAATGTTCGTATATTTTAAA